TTCAATTAAGAAAAAGAATCTTACCTTGTGGAAGTTATCTGATAGAATTTCTATTTTTTTCATGATGATAAGAATGTTGAATTTAAAAGATTTAATAAAAAGCATTGGACTGGAGTATTTCTACCAGAATATATGAAAAATTAGATACTCAGGAGCTAGTATGAAAACATCTCATTCTTATAGGGTAGTGAGTGAAAATTGAATTCCTGCAGCTCTCTAAATATAAGTGCAAAGTTGTCTTTAGCTCTTACCTGGATGTGTGAATAGTTATGTATAGTAAACTCTTAACAACTCCATGGGACTTTATGTATAAACAAGTCCTAGCTTTGTTGTTTAAACAAGTCTTTTCACAAAGAAAAGCCCAAGAAGAAAGGTAACTATAATTCCCCTCATGCTTGGGCATTCCAAGAACAAAACCAATACATTGAAGCTATAATATTAGCTGAGTTTCTATAAAGAAAATCAACAAAAATTTTTGTAACATATTGTACTCTGAGTCAATTCTACCATTAAAAAAATCTATATCCTAGCTAATCCCTAAGAGCTAAAAGGACAGCTATAGTTCATTTTCATTAAGCACAAAAACCTTAGTTTGTAATACATAGAAACTAAATTTAGCAAGATGGCTCCTTAGGTCTCATGTGATTCATTCACAAGTAGCCTGTGGAACTCCGAGCCCTGAATAATTCCTTCACTTGAATTTTATTTGTGCATAAAGGTCCACAGTGGTCACCTAACACACTTGGATGATGCACATGCGATTCCCAGAGTGCCTCTACCAGTGGAGCCGAGGAAATACATTCCAAGAGAACGAGAAGAAAAAGGAGATCTTGGGTAGACAACACGACTTTCTCAAGTGTTAAGTTAGGTCGAGCAGTAGTACCTCAATGTATTGGTTGTAGCTATTTCCACATTTGTTGAACCCTACGATTTATTTGGTCTAGTGGTTATCCCTACTCTCTTCAGTTTAAGTCTGAGTTTGGCAATAAGGAGTTCATGATCTGAGCCAGCCAGCTCCCGGTCTTGTTTTTGCTGGCTCTACAGAGCTTCTCCATCTTTGGCTGCAAAGAATATAATCAGTCTGATTTCGGTGTTGACCATCCGGTGATGTCCATGTGTAGAGTCTTCTCTTGTGTTGTTGGAAGAGGGTGTTTGCTATGACCAGTGCGTTCTCTTGGAAAAACTCTATTAGCCTTTGCCCTGCTTCATTCCGTACTCCGGGGCCAAATTTGCCTGTTACTCCAGGTGTTTCTTGACTTCCTACTTTGCATTCCAGTCCCCTATAATGAAAAGGACATCTTTCTTGGGTGTTAGTTCTAAAAGGTCTTGTAGGTCTTCAAAGAACCATTCAACTTCAGCTTCTTCAGCATTACTGGTTGGGGCATAGGCTTGGATTACCGTGATACTGAATGGTTTGCCTTAGAAACGAAGAGAGATCATTCTGTCATTTTTGAGATCGCATCCAAGTACTGCATTTCGGACTCTGTTGACTATGATGGCTACTCCATTTCTTTTAAGGGATTCCTGCCCAGAGTAGTAGATATAATGGTCATCTGAGTTAAATTCACCCATTCCTTTCCATTTTAGTTCGCTGATTCCTAGAATGTCGACATTCGCTCTTGCCATCTCCTGTTTGACCACTTCCAATTTGCCTTGATTCATGGACCTAACATTCCAGGTTCCTAAGCAATATTGCACTTTACAGCATCGGGCCTTAAGGAGATGGGAATACCAAACCACCTGACCTGCCTCTTGAGAAACCTGTATGCAAGTCAGGAAGCAACAGTTAGAACTGGACATGGAACAACAGACTGGTTCCAAATAGGAAAAGGAATACGTCAAGGCTGTATATTGTCACCCTGCTTATTTAACTTATATGCAGAGTACATCATGGAAGTACATCATGGGCTGGAAGAAGCACAAGCTGGAATCAAGATTGCCAGGAAAAATATCAGTAACCTCAGATATGCAGATGACACCACCCTTATGGCAGAAAGTGAAGAGGAACTAAAAAGCCTCTTGATGAAAGTGAAAGAGGAGAGTGAAAAAGTTGGCTTAAAGCTCAACATTCAGAAAACTAAGATTATGGCATCTGGTCCCATCACCTCATGGGAAATAGATGGGGAGACAGTGGAAACACTGTCAAACTTTATTTTTTTTGGGCTCCAAAATCACTGCAGATGGTGATTGCAGCCATGAAATTAAAAGAAGCTTACTCCTTGGAAGGAAAGTTATGGCCAACCTAGATAGCGTATTAAAAAGCAGAGACATTACTTTGCCAACAAAGGTCCGTCTGGTCAAGGCTATGGTTTTTCCAATGGTTATGTATGGATGTGAGAGTTGGACTGTGAAGAAAGCTGAGCGCTGAAAAATTGATGCTTTTGAAGTGTGGTGTTGGAGAAGACTCTTGAGAGTCCCTTGGACTGCAAGGAGATCCAGCCAGTCTATCCTGAAGGAGATAAGTCCTGGGTGTTCATAGGAAGGACTGATGCTGAAGCTGAAACTCCAATATTTTGGCCACCTCATGCGGAGTTGACTCATTGGAAAAGACCCTGATGCTGGGAGGGATTGGGGGCAGGACGAGAAGGGGATGACAGAGGATGAGATGGCTGGATGGCATCACCGACTCGCTGGGCATGAGTTTGAGTAAACTCTGGGAGTTTGTGATGGACAGGGAGGCCTGGCGTGCTGCAATTCATGGTGTTGCAAAGAGTCGGACATGACTGAGTGACTGAACGGAACTGAAGATTTATTTCATTTCTGGACAGTCTAAATACGTCTCATTTTTAGTAGTTCCTTTATCATCGCAGTCAGAATATTTCAGATGTACTGAAATAAACTTTGTTCATAGGTTTTCCCTAACCTCCTAGAACCACAGCTCGGTTAATTTTGTTTCCTCTTCCTGGGAAGTCTCTTCCCTTCAGCCTGTCAGAAATGCTGCCCAACTTCAACGCCCATCTCTAAAGCCGGTCTCTCTCATAAAGTCCTCAGTCACTGTTAATCTCTGGTGATTTTTGCATCTTTTAAATTCCAACATAATTTTCTTTCTTTGGTATTTATTTGTCTTGTTTGTGCATAATTTTTTCTATGTAAATCTTTTTTATCCAGCTACATTTTACTGTGCTTGAAGACAGAAATCATGTTTTGTAATGCTTTGTGTATCAAACATTGCCTAATATAGCAACTTTCTCTAGTAGATATTCATTAAATAATTGTAAATGGTTGATATAACTTATTACCTCTGCATTGATTTATCTTTTATACTGTTTCTCAAGAAAAAACAAGCAACACTTAATAGATCCAAGTTTGGGACTCTGTCTCTGCGCTACTTCAAAAAACGTTCGTTTGTACAGTCATGACATCATGTGTCAATAAATTCATTTTGGTACTGGAATTCATGGCAAACTTAGTTATCAGGAAGTATTCCAGATGATTCCAAATACTAATTTTTAGAAATTATTGATGAGATAATACAAAATATTAAAATTCTCATAAAATGCTCAGATCCCAAATAATTCTGTTAGGGGAAGCACACTGATTGAAACATTCCACCTGGCCAGGCACCATAGTAACCATTTGCATAAGTTGTTTTACAACAGGAGGTCCTGGTAAGGAACACAGAACTAATAAGCCTTCACCAACTGGAAAAGTTTGGGAAAGGTCAAAAGGAGACACCACATGTCCAACCACCTCCTAGAATCCTTCTCTCTGGCATCCATCTTGGCTGAACAAGGCATGCACCACCAGGAAGGACTCTTTTTTTTTTTTTTTACATGTATTCCCCATCCCGGTCCCCCCTCCCACCTCCCTCTCCACCCAATCCCTCTGGGTCTTCCCAGTGCACCAGGCCCGAGCACTTGTCTCATGCACCCAACCTGGGCTGGTGAACTGTTTCACCCTAGATAATATACGTGTTTCAATGCTGTTCTCTTGAAACATCCCACCCTCGCCTTCTCCCAGAGTCCACAAGTCTGTTCTATACATAGGAGTCTCTTTTTCTGTTTTGCACATAGGGTTATTGTTACCATCTTTCTAAATTCCATATATATGTGTTAGTATACTGTAATGGTCTTTATCTTTCTGGCTTACTTCGGAAGGACTCTTGAGTCAGAATGATTGGCTAAAGACAACCCGGAAACTAATCCCATCACCATAAGACTGCAAGCCACAGAGCAGTTCTCCTGGGTTCCCTAACCCTCCTGCTCTCCACCCGGGTAACTTGCCCAATGAAATCTCTTCTTTGTCAGCACATGTGTCTCCTCAGACAGTTCATTTCCGAGTGTTAGACAAGAGCCCAGTTTTGGGTCCTGGAAGGGGTCCCCCTTCCTGCAACAATTCCACTAAAGTGTTTCTCCTTGTGAGAAATACTATTTTAAAAACCCTCAGCTACTCTGAATTATAGGATTAAAAGAAAATGCCCAGTAATTATGACAAAATGTCTTCAACGCCTTAAAAATATACAGATGATGACTGTTCAGCTTCTAGAAAACACATTCCAAATAAATGAAGATGTACACAATAGCTACAAGGATATTAATTATAGAATTAAAATATACTGTATAAAAATATTTAAAAGACTAAATAACCAAAATTAGGTGATTGGTCAAATAAACTGTATATTGTACAAGGAAATAATTAAAATGGGTGTTGTACAAAAACATTTAATGACATGGAAAGATCTAAATTTTCTGTATTGAAGATGTATTACTTTTGTGTAAAGAATAAAAAAAATTTGAAGTATTAAAAATTAAATAAATGCCTAGCAATTATCTCAGAATTGCTTATTTGGGTCATGTATCCTGCTGTCAAGAAAATATATATTTTGTAGTTTTTTGAATTAACAGCAGAGACAAACCAAAGAAAGTCTCTCTCATCTTGATGACTAATGTCTTCAAGTGAATGAATGTCATGTGGCTAAAGCCAATCAACGAGATGAGGCTGTGGGAAGAATGTTCTTTCCTAGCACTGTTTGTGCTCTTAGCTCTTACTTTTCTTTGCAGGTCCATGGAAAGTGTATGTGTAAGCACAACACAGCGGGCACCCACTGCCAACACTGTGCGCCTTTATATAACGACCGCCCCTGGGAGGCAGCTGATGGAAAAACAGGGTCTCCAAATGAGTGCAGAAGTAAGTACAAAGTCCACGGACTCAAAAGCCTTCTTTGTTAAGTAAACATCTGTAGACTTCTCTTTTGTTGTCTTGAGAAACACAATATTAAGTGGTAGGTGACAGATGCTAACAAATGTAGCCCATATCACGGCCCACTGTGACTTCAGCCATTGGAAACAGTTACTGCTTGCAAAGTCGCTGATGTGACTGTTTTGCCAAGAATGTGTTGCTCATTTGCTGGGACTCTATGTTGAACCTGAGAACCAGTCTTGAGAGTTTGACATAATAAAAACATGGCCAGACACAGAGCAACTGAGGTTTAGAGTTCACAGATACTGAATTATAATAATGAAAATAGGTATCTTGAATTCAGTTCTCAAAACAACCCTATAAAGTAGGTGGTATTAATCCCATATTAGAGATCAGTAAACTGAAGTCCAATAAAATTTTAAGTATCTTGCCAAAGTTAGTAAATGATAGAGTCAGGACTTGATCCCTAGTTTTCAGACTCCAAATTAAATACTTTTTTTCTGGAATACCATAATACCTGTCTCTTCACTTATACTTTTAAAAACAAATTAGATTTGAAACTATGCCAGTTCACCAAGAATGAGACTAACACTGTCATGCCTAACCTTGGGTTTGAGGTTTGAGGTTAGATAGAAGAGTAAAAAATATCGCAATGTGAACCATTTTTTTCTTTGGAAGCACACATGAAATAGAAATATACACGCACAGAGAAATGCACATGCCCATAGCAGTGTTTACACTGACAAACTTCAATTCTACTCGGGTTTAAAGGCAAATACAGTGGGTAAAATTGTGAGAGGTCTCTTCCCATATGTAGTCTGGAATCATAACTGATTTATTTTAGTTTCACGGAAATGTACAGGATTTCCTCTAAGCATAAATCTTAAATTATCTTATAGCATGCTTTTTAAAGACTATGAATCTGGTCAAAATATCATAACACATCAAGGAAACAATGAAAAACAATAGCAAAAACATTTTCAAATACAGCTGACCTCCAGGAAAAAGTCCAGATCCTTATTCTAAATCAATCAAGATAATCTAAAGAATTTCTCCCAAATTCCTAGAGTGCCATTATGGCCCTTTCCACAGAAACCAGCTGCATAAAAAAATACATATAGAACACAGAGACTTGTCTCTTGGTGCTACTGACTATAATCTTAGAAATGACTCTGAGAATCTGTTACATAAGAAACTTTGCAAGCCTCTCTTATAAGAAAATTAAGGTCTCTTTAGGGGACCACGTCATACTCAGCAGTACAATAACTGAAGAACAGTACTTCATGAAAGGCAAATCAATCTATCTGCCAAGTTACTAACCCCTGTTCACCAGAAGTTTCCTTCTAGGTTTGAAGGAAGGTGGGAGGGAGAGAAGGATGAAAGAGAAGGAAGAAAGGAAAGAAACTACTGAGGGCCAGAGGAAACAGGGTGAATAGGGATGGGGAGACTAGAGTTCTTAATATATAAACCTTCTTACACTGTTTTGACTCTTGTATTGTGAAAAGGCATACTATTCAAAAAACTAAATTTTAAAACAATGAAGTACAGTTGATTAACAATGTTGTGTTAATTTCTGCAGAGTGATTCAATTATACATACATAGTGCTTCCCAGGTGGCATTAGTGGTAAAGAACTCTGCCAGTGCATAAGAGAAACAGGTTTGATCCCTGTGTCGGGAAGATCCCCTGGAGGAGGGAATGTCAACCTATCCCAGTATTCTTACCTGGGGAATCCCATGGACAGAGGAACCTGGCGGGCTACAGTCTTTAAGGGACGAAAGAGTCGGACACAACTGAAGCAACTTCACACATACACACACACCACGCATGTATTCTTTTTTCCATATTCTTTTCCATTATGGCTTATCACAGTTTACTGAATGCAGTTCCCTGTGCTATTACAGTAGCACCTCATTGTTTCTCCATCCTACATGTAATGGTTTGCATCTGCTCACCGCAAACCCCCGTCTATCCTTTCTCCATCCTCGCACCCCCTGGTCAACCACGAGTCTGTTTTCCACTTAGGAATCTGAAAAACCTAATTTTTTAAAAAAATTAACAGTCAGCTTACCCTACTGGTAACTGCCTGAACACTAGAGAAACTGTCATTTTACTTTTAATTCTTTGTTTTTCTCTGATCCTTCTTTCCCCCAGCCTGCAAGTGCAATGGACATGCTGACACCTGTCACTTTGACATTAATGTGTGGGAGGCATCAGGGAATCGTAGTGGTGGTGTCTGCAATGACTGTCAGCACAACACAGAAGGTCAGCACTGCCAGCGATGTAAGCCAGGCTTCTACCGGGACCTCCGAAGACCTTTCTCTGCCCCAGATGCTTGCAAATGTAAGTAAACTCATGTTTATGGGGGAAAAGTTTGATTGACAAAAGAGATGACACTCCATCCTTCATTTGCTCACCCAAGGGAGAGAAATCATGAAATTCTCAGACAATTCACTCATACACATCAGTTAACTTCATTGATAAGGGGTAAGAATTGTCAGGTGGACACAGTACAATAGTCATAAAAACAATCTCCTCACTCTCCATGAAGTAAAATTGTCTCCTATAGCACCATATTTTGGAAAACAAGATGACTAATAACAGAGAAAAAAGAGGGATGAAGTGCAAGCTATATTTAAGATTATCTTCAGCTCAGTTCAGTCAGTCAGTCGTGTCCAACTCTTTGAGAACCCCATGAACTGCAGCATGCCAGGTTTCCCTGTCCATTACCAACTCCCAGAGCTTGCTTAAACTTCTGTCCATCAACTTGGTGATGCCATCCAACCATCTCATCCTCTGTCTTCCCCTTCTCCTCCTGTCTTCAATCTTTCCCAGCATCAGGGTCTTTTCCAATGAGTCAGCTCTTCTCACTAGGTGGCCAAAGTATTGGAGTTTCAGCTTCAGCATCAGTCCTTCCAATGAACATTCAGGACTGATTTCCTTTAGGATTGACTAATTTGATCTCCTTGCAGTCCAAGGGACTCTCAAGAGGCTTCTCCACCACCACAGTTCAAAAGCATTAATTCTTTGGCGCTCAGATTATCTTAAGACCAAATATATGAGTAGGACACAGACAATAATGGACTCAAACTGATGAAATAAAGAGTGGTTATCTGCACTTGTGTCATTCTTGTTTTCATCTCTGCAGTGAACTTGAACATCTGAAAAATGACAGGTTTTGGTTCCACTGTGAATGCAATCTGTTTGACTCTGCTCTAAGGTACCATGATATCATAAATGAATTTAGAACATAACAATAATTCCTTACGTTCCCCCAAAATACTAAATTATTAAAGAATGGGTTCTGCTTTTTGTTGGCATAAATCCAATAAGAGGTTTTTCTCAAAGAAAGAGTATAATTTTCAAAGATCTGCCCAGTTAATGAGACATTCTCTGAAACATGACTATGAAGAATGTAGACAGAGCTTAAGTAAAAGTCCAGTGTGGATGAATAGTTCCTCTAACTACATGAGCATTTACTTGTCTATTGACTCAGAGATGATTAGATCACAGAAACTACTCAAGACTGTTAATGGAGATGAATGATCATGCCCTTCCTTTTCCCACTAAGGACTCTACGTTCTAGGTTAAAAAACAGAGACAGGAAAGGAACAGTACAATGGGAAACAATAATTTAAAATCTTGAGTTTGTTTTTAATTTAAAGGAAAAATTCTGTTGCTCTTGAAGAAACAGTTTTGACATAAGGCAGGAGATATTTACATGAAATATGAGTGGGCTTACTTGTTACAGGCTTTTTCTCTTAGATAATGAAGGTTGGACGTGGAACAGCTCACTTCCAACACTGAGCCCCAAATTTTGATTTACATCACAATATTTCTCCAAGAATTGTTTTACTCCTGCTTCTTTCCGTAGTCAGTTCAGTTCAGTTCAGTCGCTCAGTCGTGTCTGACTCTTTGAGACCCCATGGACTGCAGCTCGCCAGGCTTCCCTGTCCCTCACCAACTCCTGGAGTTTACTGAAATTCATGTCCCTTGAGTCGGTGATGCCATCCAACCATCTCATCCTCTGTCATCCCCTTTTCCTCTCACCTTCAATCTTTCCCAGCATCAGGGTCTTTTCAAATGAGTCAGTTCTTCGCATCAGGTGGCCAAAGTATTGGAGTTTCAGCTTCAGCATCAGTCCTTCCAATGAATATTCAGGACTGATTTCCTTTAGGATGGATTGGTTGTATCTCCTTGAAATTCAAGGGACTCTCAAGAGTCTTCTCCAACACCACAGTTCAAAAGCATCAATTCTTTGGTGCTCAGCTTTCTTTATAGTCCAACTCTTACATCCATCCATGACTACTGGAAAAACCATAGCCTTGACTAGACGGACCTTTGTTGGTTTATTTGACCTGAGGCTAAACTGTGGTGGAGGTAATGAAAAGGTCCCATGCACGCACTGCTATACTCAGTGCCGTGAACCCTGCAGCAGGCCACCGCCGACCCATGCCTCCACCAGAGACTCCTGGACACTTATGGGCAAGTCTGGGTTAGTCTCTTGTGGGGTCACTGCTCCTTTCTCCTGGGTCCACGCAAGATTCTGTTTGTGCCCTTCGAGTGTCTGTTTCCCCAGTCCTGTGTAAGTTCTAGCGACTCTTATGGTGGGTTAATGGCAACCTCCTCCAAAAGGGCTTATGCCATACCCAGCTCTACTGCATCCAGAGCCCCTGTCCCTGCAGCAATCCGCTGCTGACCTGTACCTTCTCAGGAGACATCTAAACACAGTTCTGTCTCGGTCTCTGTGGGGTCTCTGGGTCCTGGTGCATACAAGGTATGTTTGAGCCCTCTGAGTGTCTCTGGCCGGTATGGAATTTGATTCTAAATGCTATTTCTGTACTCAGACTTGCACTTATTTATTTTGTTTGGAGGATAATTGCTTAACAACATTGTGTTGGTTTCTGCTGTAATATAGTGAATTAGCTATAAGTATACACATATACTTGAGCCTCCTTTCTACATGCCCCAACCATCAGACTTTCATTTTAGTAGGATTCAAACAGATGTATAATAGAGACTTACCTGCCCCTACAGTTGTGTAGCCCAATGTTGGCTGTTGACGGTCTTTGGACGCCAATGTCTTTCTACTCACAAGGCTGTAATGAGAACTTTATAACCTAAAATATGTGGGGTTTAGCAGGTTGCTTGTTGTATAGTAAGTCCTGAAGAAATGAAAAACTAGTATAAACTGTTGTCCTATAAGATCTACCCTTTATTGACTAAAAATACCTTATATCAAAAATAATTACTTCTTTAAAATCCATAGTACCTTAGGGACTAACATGTAGTTTCCTTAACTCTGTGTGCTTACTGAAGGGTCTGCTTATGAAATTTTTCAGTCTAGAACATATTCAGCTCTAACACCATTTTGTATAGGATATATTTAAATAGATATGTGTATGGGGGTATTTCACATCTTCAGACCACTAGTAAAAATGTCTAAAAGTAAGAATGTATGGACTAACAAGTAGATAAAACAGGAAATTAGTTTACTGCCTTGCATGGCAATGGGCAACATTTTCAGAAAGATACTGTTATAGGGATTGCATTGAATATGTAGATTGCTTTGGGTAGTATAGTCATTTTCACAGTATTGATTCTTCCCACCGAAAAACACAGTATATCTCTCCTTCTGTGTCATCTTTGGTTTCTTTCACCAGTGTCTTATAGTTTTCTGAGTACAGGTCCTTTACTTCTTTAGGTAGGTTTATTCCTAGGTATTTTATTCTTTTTGATGCAATGGTAAATGAGATTGTTTCCTTAATTTGTCTTTGTGATCTTTTACTGTTAGTGTGTAGGAACGCAAAAGATTTCTGTGCATTAATTTTGTATCCTGCAACTTTACCAAATTCATTAATTAGCTCTAGTAGTTTTCTGGTAGTAACTTTAGGATTTTCTATGTATAGTATCATGTTATCTGCAAACAGTGACATTTTTATTTATTTTTCAACTTGTATAGCTTTTTGGACTATTGGTAGGAATGTAAATTGATACAGTCACTATGAAGAACATTATGAAGGTTCCTTAAAAAACTAAACATAGAACTACCATATGACCCAGCAGTTCTACTCCTGGGCATCTACCCAAAGAAAACCATAATTCAAAAAGACATGGGCACCCCCATATTCACTGCAGCACTATTTCCAATAGCCGGGACATGGAAACAACTCAAACATCTACCAACAGAGGAATGGATAAAGGAGATGAGGTACATATATACAATGAAATGTTACTCAGTCATCAAAAGGAATGAAATTAGGTCATTTGGAGAGATGTGGATGAACCTAGAGACTGTCATATAGAGTGAAGTCAGTCAGTCAGAGAAAAGCAGATATTGTATATTAACACATATATGTGGAATCTAGAAAAATGGTATAGATGATCTTATTTGCAAAGCAGAAATAGAGACATAGACATAGAGAACAAATGTATGGATTCCAAAGGGGGAAGAGGGTGGGATGAACTGGGAGGCTGGGACAGACATATATACACTGTTAATACTATATATAAAACACATAAATAATGAGAACATTTTATAGCACAGGTAATGCTACCCAGTGCTCTGTGGTGGCCTAAACGGGGAGGAAGTCCAAAACCAGAGGAGCTCTGTATACGTATAGCTGATCCACTTTGCTGTACAGTGGAACTAACACAACATTGTAAAGCAACTATGCTCCAATAAAAACTAATAAAAATAAATAAAATTAATAAATGAAGTATATAGTATATATGTTAGAAGATGGTAAGTGCTATTAATAATATCACCAAAGAAGTATAAATCAAACAAGTTAAGAAGGATCCGAGGTGCCAGGGGTTTGGAATGAGAAGAGGAGTGACAAGATGCAGTATTATTTTTCACTTTCATTATTTAAGAAATAATTGGCATATAGCACTATATGAGTTTAAGAAGTACAGCATAATCATTTGGTATATGTATAATTGTGAAATGATCACCACAGTCTATTACCTCACATAATTATAACTTTTTCCTTACGATGAAAATTTTATAATCTCTTAGCAACTTTCACATATACAGTATGGTATTAACTGTAGTTATGTTGTACATTATATCCCCAAAACTTATTTATCTTATAACTGGAAGTTTGTTGTTGTTGCTTTTTTGTTTTTTACCATCTTCACCTATTTTGCCCTAACAACCCCTCATTCCCCACCTCTAGAAACCACCAATCTGTTCTTTACTCCTGTAAGTTTGGTTTTTTAGCTTCTCACTGATATAAGTGAGAACATAGAAAAGATGCAGTATTGAATGAGGATAGGCCTCATCACTAAGAAGGTGAGACTTGAGCAAAGAACGGAAGATAGTAAAAAAGTTGGCCAAA